CACACACACACACACACACACACACACACACACACACACACACACACACACACACACACACACAGAGGGAGGAGGACGACATGAAGACAGAAGAGAAGAAGTACAATGGCGACAAAACAGGCTACAAGGACAGGGAGAATGAAGAGGGTGAGTGACACTCACAGTGTGATGGTAGACGTGAAAACATCAAGCAGCGTGAGGGGAGTTTGCACTCCAGCAGCTTCTCCGTGGCAGCGCGACGACAACAACATTGCAGCGGTGCGTCAACAATAACGTAGTTCAAAATCGAATTCGAATTTGTGGTGCCTCACTGCGGGGGCATTACAGAAAGATGGGTGCCCCTCATGGCCCGATGGAAATGGGACCACCATTCCAGAGAGGGCGTTCTGGAAAGTTGCGCCCACTACCGACAGGGGCCTGCCAAAAAAGATTTTTAGTCCCAGGGGCACGGCAGGGTAAATCGGCCGCCGGAGGGGCGTGGCGCAAAATAGTCGAAATTACGGGGGCACCAGACAAATTTTCCCAAAAAACGGAAAAAAAAGAAAAACAGAAAGAATGCTTTGCATAGGACAGTAAGTGCCTGCCACTCAAAAGGAAATTGTTCCTACTACTTGGTGATCAAGACCAGGTGTGAGAAATGGGACTAATGGGACTAAAGTTTTTCGAGAATGAACAACCACCTGCAATGACCTGGTTTCAAAATCCCGCACCGAAACATGCACCTGAAGACTGAGTCAAGGTGGGGTGTGAGAAACGGAACTAAAGGGTCCCATCAAGGCTGGGTTTGAGAAATGGGGACCAAAGGGTCTCAGAGCCCATTACAATGGCCCTCAGTCCAGCCCATGTCCCAGTCAAAGACATATGGAATGCACTCTTGGAACCCCTACAGGCTACAGAATCAACGGATGGTATGGATCCAGCGTTGTGAAGTCTAGGGGTCGTAAATTTTGGTCATGTCATCCACCCAGCTCCGACCGCATCCGAAACCAATTTCATCCACCTGCGCGCAGCCTTCCTGTGCCCAAAATTTCCCCACCTGGCATACCCTTATTGTTTCCCAACATTTCAGACATAGGCCTTCGCATTCGGATTCTTCACCTTCCATCCGCAGATTGCCGCATTCACCACAACTTCAGTAGTGAAAAGTTAAAATATACTTCAAGGCACTTAAAGAAAATGATAAACGTATCAAACATTTTGGTGAGATCGGAAGGTGAGTCAATAGACTCGCTTTTTGATGGATCTGACCGCAATCATGTCCTGAGCTTATTACCAAATGTCCTAGTGTGAGTATGCCCTAAGACAAAACGGCAGGCGGCCCCAATCCATGGCCATAGCTCAGTTGGTACAGCAATGAACTGTTGAAACACAGAGCTGTGTCCGAATCCAGACAGAACTACGTGAATTACCTAAGGCCGGTCAGTGCTATCTCAAGCCTGTTGCCCTCTCATTGAAGGCTCGAAAAAGGGGGCCACGCCGAATTAATCGTACAGCCTAGCCCTAATACTACCAAGGCTTGCCTACATACAGGTCTTGGGTCACCCGGGCCAAACCTCTACCCAGTTGTAACTGGACCCGGGGTGAACCTTTACCCGTCTGTAACTGCCCAGGCACCGTTTCAACACCCAGCCCGATCCACCCTATAGTTTCTTGCCCCGACCACATCACCCCCTCATATTTTCATACCCAGCCGCGCACAGGTGCGTACTAATCTTGCCATACCCACACCCGTCCAAAACTGCTGGGTACGGCTGGGTACGGTCCGGCCGGGTCACGGCTACCCAATGTCAACCTCTGCTCTGAAGAGTCCAGACTCACCTTTTTTTTTTTTTTTTTTTTTTTTTTTTTTAGGCAGACTCACCTAATCAGTCGCATTACGAAACGACTGCCAACTGCCCACACATTTCTGAACGCAAATGGAGGTTCCACTTAACCCGGACCCGGATTCTTCATTCCCAACCGTAGATCAGTCGACCTACGGTCATAAATGAGCTAGGCGAGTGCAACCACCCCCCAGGTTGTAGATGCTAAGGCAGAATATTCTGACTCCTGAGGCCTCTGGAAGAGCAGGACTCACACCAAGAGACCCCCTCAACCAGGGGGCCTTTAGAAAAAGGGAAAAACACGAGCAAGAAAAAGTTTGAAAAACAAGACGGGGTGTCATTACTCTGAAATTGAGGCTGAAAACTGAGAAGTCTGAACATTATTATTTTGTAACTTTTGTTTTTGTTTTTGTTTTTGTTTTTGTTTTTGCAAAAAACGAATGTTGTACACCATAATAGAGCCATAGGGGAGGGGACCTGAGGGGAGGCACAGGGATTGGTCCTGTCGGCATGGTCCCTGATGCTACCGGCTGTCCCCTAGCCGGTATCGCCCACCTGCAGGTCGGGAGCAGCCCCCGCATGTTCTCTCGTGAACACGGTTCTGGCTGCTACGGGGTTCCCGGTATGCCTACAATTAGGAGTAGTGGTAGGTAGGTAGTGTGAGGTGAAATTGAGAGAAGAATATAGCTTTTTTTTAATAAAAAAATAAAAAAATAATAGAGCCAAGAAAAAATCTTTCTGACAACTTCTTGACCCTCTCGTATCAAAAAAATTCAAAACTGAAGTTAGAAGTTAGGGCCTCACCACACCACTCTCTAAATGTGAAAAAGACAAAAATGTGGTGGGTGCATCGGGCCATGTTCTTGCGGGAAGTTCGTTCTCATTTTGCACATTTCGAAAGTGTTGTGGCGGTGCCCTTAGAACTGGACATCTAATTGTTTTTTAGCTGCTGTCTAAAAGACATACGAGTAAACACTTACTAGTTGTTATTAGTTACTTTCTGAGTTTCTATAAGTTATGGGAATGAAGTTCAATAAACATGTAGTGTTATGAAATGGTCACATATAGAGTCCCTTGTAAGTTGTAAGGCTTTTTAAATTTTGTGTTTTCCGCTGGTTACAGGGTTCGCCCCCCGGGGCCCTTACAATTTTTTTTTGGCAAATTTCTTCTAAGTTCTTCTTTCTTACATATTTGGTTATCTATTTAAAGTTTAAACAATTTTGACTTCTAGAATTCTCCTCACTGGATTAGCAGTCAACTGAGTCAAGGGATCTAGTCCCACAGGATGGATGTCAGAATTGACTAAGTAGCAAGTAGGACTGGGTACTTTAACTAGTCGCCCGCTGCTTAACAGGGGTCCTGTTTTCCTGTGGATACTAATGTCCTTTGATTACAAAAATGTATGCTTGCTGGGGACAAGTAACCGGACTGCTGCCCCCCCGGATTACAAAAATGTATGCTTGCTGGGGACAAGTAACCGGACTGCTGCCCCCCCCCCCCCCCCACCCGGGAATATAAAGGGCGCTGGTCATCTTTCTTAAAAAAACAAAAAAACTAAAACAAAAACAGGCTATCTATTTACTTATTGGTCGATGAGTTTTCTGCAGGGTGTACCATTCAGTTAAACCACCAGTACCTTTGGCCAGCATTTTTCTGACGCTGGAAACGCCCTGCACGCCATTTCTACTACCACCATACAAGGTGTCCCGGTCAGTCAGACAAGGGGCATCCATTGGCGGCCCCGCTGTTCCTGTTCAGAATGGAAGCAGTGGCCTCCTTCTTGCATAAAGATCTGTCCATTGACAGGCTGATACTGGAACAGGCCTCACCCGGCCACAAAGTTGATTTTGCCATCCACACTACTCTCTCTGCAGACGACCTCACAGCTCTGATAAGAGCCTCCAACTCCTCCTTCCAAGCGTTGACAAGAGAGTCATGCAAGTCTTCCCGCTGGCCTCTGAAATGGAGGTCAACTGGCAGAAAACGATTGGATGGTGGCTATCGGACACGCCTCAGCCCCCGGCGGACACTACGCCCGCTGGGTTCGCATGGCAAGATCCACAAAGACGCCGCTTCGCTACCTTGGCATCAAGCTTGCAGGTACAGGGCCGGACCATGTAATGGCGCCAGAAATCCTCACCAAGATGCTGCGCAAAATGGACACCTTGTCCATCAGCTATACATCCGTCTTCAGTTGGGCGCTGGTGCTGAATGCCTCCATTTTCTCCATGCTCTGGTATGCAACCTCCATTTGGACGCCAACAACACGCACAGCTGGCACCCTCGAGAAACGAGCAACAGCGTACCTGTGGACAGGCACCCCCTCGAGGCTAAACTACATTGCAAAAGTAGCGTGGATCCACCTCATCCAACCTAAGGGACGCGGTGAACTGGGACCTTCGGATCCGGCCACACAAGTAAAG